CCAACGGCAAGTACCAATGTGATATTTTCAGAGTTATATGTGCTTTCTAAGATTATCTAGACACCACTGACAAACGGTGAAGGAAAACATCTTGAGGAAACCGGGGCTTATAATTTCTAATTATAAGTTTGTAATCGCTAACCCGCATTGAGCAAGCGTGGTGATTAATGCTCAAACCTTCTCCGTGTTACAAGAGGCTTTGTTCAGCAGTGGGCGTTTATAGGCTGTTGATGTGACACGTTTGACATATGTATAATTATACTATAGGTATGTATTGTATGTAGATATATTTCCACTTCATAAACTAAACATAATAGATCCAATACACTGCTCGACCAACCGCTTTCACACGCAATACTGATGACGCACAAATCCCTAGTAATCTGGGATCCAATTACATAAAACGAATCCCTTTAGAGGTTTTAACACTCAATGTAACGCCAGAATGCAAATCAGTTAGTTAACATCTGTTTCAAATTAATTTATTCAATTTATAAATGTACCGCTGAAAGATAGTGAGGGGTCGACAAGTAATTCTAAATAGTAAATCGGTTTATTACACTGTAAATTACTTTTAATGCTCATAAAATTATAATATATGTTAAATAATAATATTCACTACACTATAATAAATTGTATTATTTATTTATATATTACTAGCGACCCGCCCCGGCTTCGCACGGGTGCACAATGCATATATTACACATATAAAACTTCCTTAAGGATCAGTCTATCTTTTTAAATAACCGCATCAAAATCCGTTCTGTAGTTTTAAAGATCTAAGCATATATAAGGACAGACAGACGGCGGATAGCGACTTTGTTTTATACTATGTAGTGACAATGTATAGGCTACCTTTTCTTATAACAAAAGTTTATCGAGATACATTTTTTGGAAATAGTGTTTGGATTCGTGTCTGTTATAGTGCCCAGTGTATGGTAATAGACCCACATCCCATTAATTAGACCTCTTAACTAGTGAAATGTGTTAGAAACAACCAAATTACGCCCGAATACTGAAAGGTTACTCACTTTTAAATTGTCTTTAAATATCGTGCCATCACTGTAATTTTATAAAAAAATTGTAGTGACATAAACTATATACTTAAACACGGGTTAAAATTGAGTGTCATTTGAGTATTTGGACATTACAGCCAGAAAAGAATATCATGTGAGTAACTCAGAAGATAATAAGTTTTCTAAGAAAATCCACAAACATCTAGATCAGTAATTCTATACGTGTATAAAAATCGTTCCATAAATTTTAAAGCAGAGTAGTCTTGAAGTATTAGTGGCCTACCTGACTATCCTATTTTGATAAAATTACCTCTGTTCGCCGAAGCTCCGTTCGACCGCAAAACTGGGTAAAACTTCGTCTTCTTTCGTACAATAGTTCTTTATAAATAAAATTCGAAACAAGTTATGCGGGATTCCCAGATCTTTATGATGCTTTCTTTGTGTGTGTAGAATCATAAATAGGTTTTACTACAATCGAGAAATAATGAAGATGCATCTTAGTGTATTTATTATTACTTTAACGTATAACCTTATGGTCAAAAGTCTCAAGGAGTCTTATATGTGTTAGCAATGTAGGTAGGTACGTTAGTGCATTCACCTAAAAGGCAAGGATTAATATTGAAGACTATTGCACAATATTCCCAAACGACTATCTCAACTAGAACGACAACAGAACAAGTTGAAGCCTACTAAAAATGGTTCACAATTCTTATTTAAGTTTAAATAGGTTTCACGATGCAGCAATCTACGTGAGCTCGACCGAAGCCGGAGATTGAGAGCGCGGGATCGCGGTGAGCGACCGACCAACTTTGACAAAGAGTAATGATCCAACACGATCGGACCGACACCTCTCGCCGTAACCACACCAGCTCGCGAGTTCACCACAAAAGAAATCATGTTTTCTTGACAATATTCCACCTGTCACTTGTACTTACCTCCTGGAATAATAAAGATTTTTGTAGAATATTTTTACAATGTTAATGATTTAAGCGTACCTACTTAGTCCTTACATAACATTTTAAAAGAATTTGTAAAGTAACCACGTAGCGTTTCTAAAGGAAAACCATACATCCAGTAGAATAATAAGTTATTGTGTACGCAGAACGAAGGCGCGGCGCCGTTTTATCGCTCGATAGCGTACAATTGTATCGACAATCTTCGAAACGAAGTTGTTATCTTGGCGGCTCTCACGTTTTGTTGAATTAGTAAGAGGGTACAGATAAATGGCCATGTAAGAAACACGGAACGATCTCCGACTCGGTCCGAAAGCGATAGTGCTCCACTAGTTACGATAATAAATAGGGGCTTAACGCTAGCAAATGGCCGATTAGGGCATTCTTGACTACAACACGGGCATTCTGATAAAGTTAGCGTTTGCTTTGCAACGAGTCTCGTGGGTTTTATGGCTAACAAATAGATTGCTCTGCCAGTAAATCACTCACTTGTTTTTAAGTTTACCTTGTTTATGTGTAAACACTTGGAACCAAGAACGCTTCGAAGCAAAATTCGAGAACAATCCAAACAGCGGATAATTTGAAATAAATCAACACATTTGTAATTTATACCTTGGCTTTATTGCACCATTGACTCGTTACAATTTGAATTGGCAATTTAAAACAGAATAAACAGTTTATAAATACTAATACTAATGGTTCAATTGTTTAAATAAGACTACTACGTGAAATACGTTTTCGGCAAAATTAATTCAACCTCATTTTAACGAGATTCAACCATCAGACCTTTTATTAAGGCCAATTCGACAAATTGAAAGCTTAAGGTTTAATTAAGATAATTTCAAAATCCATTATGGTATCATCGCTTATTTCGATCGGGTTTATTTGATATTTCGTCTCACTCATCTTCTTTAGGTAGTCTTGACCTATTTTCCTATCATAGTGTGTATTCTGTTAAATAAATGGAAGTGTGTGAAAATATGTTTGTCTGTCTTTTTTGAACTGCACGGTTGGCGCGGTGTAGCGTTTTCGATTCCCGCACGGAACTACTCTTTGTATCATTCACGAATTTTCGTTTCGGGTCTGGGTGACCCTTTGTAAGTATGTAAAATTATATTATTATCTTTGTAAACGCACCCACGACACAGAAGATAATTCTAGTGTGAGGCAAGGTTTAAAAAAATTCAAAAAATTGTCAGCTAGTCTAAATGCCTGACCCATTGGTTAAGGTAAATAAGGTTACAGAACTTTTATACAGATCACGTGATCTCAACTACAGGTAAACAAACGTAAAAGCAAGAGGACAATAATAGGGCACTTATTATGATATTATTAGTATCTGAATGGCCTATTATATTATAAAACATGTTGCCCTCAAACCTTTGTTAGGATTACTCTATAAGATTACCTATCCGACAATAGCGCCGATCTTTTCAGCACAAAGAATACAATTTGTACCAACAAAGATGATTTAGATAACCCAATAATATAAGGATGTAAATTAACCTATAAATAATTTATGAAAATACTGGAATAAGTTAGTAAATTGTTTCTGTTTCTTTCTCTCAATATTTGCATACATATTAGTAAAACTAGAGAGATATTCAATATTATTCGTCATACTCAAAATATCACACGTAATTGTAGAGGTAGCCAAAAAATCAAATTAAGAGTCTGATACACCCTCCGAGAGAAGTCATTCGATGATTTTCCCCATTAACAAAAAGCCAAATCTCGTAGCACTCGTAGCACTTCGTAGCGTGTGCCTACGAAGTGTACGAATACGGTCGTAAAAGTAATCTGTAGTAAATGCAGAGTTATTACTTCTCAGATAAAAAAAAACCTAAATTATGTTAGTCCAATGTCCAACCGTCCATTTAACCATGTCCTTAGTTAAAAAACTTTAGTTTTTCAGTGGTTAACAAAATTGTTATCACAACGAACAAAGGTTACAAAATACTTTATTCTATACATTTTTATTGTATAAATACTATAGCCATTGTTGTCTGTGAAGCAGCTTGATTGATACTGATACGTGAATATGAAATACATAGAATAGGAATTTTATCAATAAAAATAATTTATTTTATCGGTTATAGAGTTTCTTTGCATGACCTTTGAAGATAGATATCATACTTTTATACTGTAAGATTTTTATATACATTATCAAGAAACATAATGATGTCAACTTTTGTATTTATCGTAGCAACCTACTACGCTGTAGCGACTACGCGGGCTACGAAATTATAATTCGTAGCAGAAATACAAATAAGTAAACATCTTGAATTACTTGTAAATATTATTTTAATACTTCATACGTGTACAAAAGTTTTGTGTTGGGTGTCAAACAAAATAGAAGGTCAAATATTATTAGGAGCTTTACTCCACGGGCGTACAAAACCTATTGTTAATAAACAACAATACTACCAAGTAATCACATTTTATTCTTTGTGTCTGAAACTCCATACAAATATAACATAAGCAAAATAAATCATCAGTCATGTACAAAGCCATTTGATTCTTAGCACGAACGAGTGAAAGTCAAAATAAGAATACTTGTAATAAAATATAAGCAGTTAGGAGCGGCCATGTTGAGTATAGCAGTAAAAGAAAGGCCCACGTTTAAGAAGAAACGTGATAATTACGCGCGCCGGCTAAAGACTAAGAAACTGATCAAGTATTTACAAAGCGAGTTAAGAAGTTCCACCACTCACGGGCTGCCTTACATCGCCAACACTGAGTTACATTGGTTCGAAAGGTACCTTTTATGTATTTAAGGTCTGATTTTTTAAAAGCTAGTTTATAAAACATTATTTTTCGTTTTATTTATGAATTGTTAATCGTATTGGTCATGAAAATTATCAACGAAAGAAAGTATAATATCCGTTTATCTATTTTAAACTGAAAGAAGTCTTTTTTTTATTTATCTTGGTACCTGTACCAAGGTAGTTAGTGTTAGTGAGATTTACTCTTGTCTTACCTTCATATGATTTTGTCGAAGAGACTCATCTTACTCTGCTCTTTGTTCTAGAATATTCTGGGCGGCATGTTTCGGTGCGGCCTGTGCTGTGATGTTCGTTCTTTTGTCTGCTCAATATACAAGACTTGTGGTAAATAGATACATATTAGGACACCTTATAATAACCTAATCTATTTAACTGAATAAACGTAATGTAACTACCCATTAATAAAACCTGCGGACACGACCTTTAGTGCCTAATAAAACAGTCGAAGAAGAAGTGAGAATGAAGCCCATATGTAATGTAGTAATTTATTTTTTATTGTATCGATAATTGTTTTCAGGAAGCACCTACAGTAAATAGTGTGGAGAAAGATTACTTGAATTGGAATGTGTCGTACCCAACGATTGTATTGTGTCCCATGAGCAAAATCGATGACGAAATCTTTGCTGATTATGTTAAGTAAGTTTAGAACTTTGTGAAGACGGCAAGTCGGCAACCCCGACGCATCGGCTCTCCGATGAAGGTGCCCGGCCCACTGCAGCACTGCCACTTCAGCTTGCTAATTATGTCTGTCTATTACAGTGAAACTTTCAACAACACTGGTTACAACCTAGAATCATTCTATTCCGCCATTATATCCGTGTCTTTGGACGCATTGAATGTATTGGATTTGTTACCACCGCCCGAAATATTAAAGGTAGATCTTTACTTACTGTAAAAAAGATACTTTAAAACCATCTATCTAGGATGATGAACAAAAGATGAACAGCACTTGCAAACACTATTGCTAAGCACAAGATCTATAAGCATATCATTTTACCGACATTTTACGTTTCATTGTTTTTGGTGTTGAAGAGTCGAGACCAGGAAGTTTTCGGGTTAATGCCTCATTTTCTATTAAGATGTAATCAATAGAACTCATCGCTTTTATTTTTAAAGCTCATAAAACCTGAAGACTACGCGAAAATCGCCGCAGACTTGTTCATGAAATTTAAAAACCAAACGTTAACGACTATGCCGAAGTGGCCCATTACGATAGACACTGCTATGACAGAGATGGGGATGTGTCATATAATAAATTCGAACGTTGCCATACTTGATGATCCCACGTGAGTTATTTTAATTTTCACGTACTATCACTGTAGTCCTTTTAATAGAAACTCTTACCACAAGTGCATACCGCTTGCCCCCTATTACATGGGAAGGACTCATAACATGGCCGGTGAAAAGTGAGAGTTCATTAATAATATATGTGCACCGGTGTCACCTTACTAACCAAAGGATGATCGTGACGTTTTTTTGGGCAAAGGAAACCATTTTTTGTTTTCATTTAAGTTTTCATTCCATTAGGTACTAGGTTTTACTAATTCTTCAAAGATTTTGATAAACTAGACAAACAAAGCACTTACCAATTTTGAACAATAACAAACAAAAATACCTTCCTACTTCGTACTAATGCTTGATGAATAATGCAGATATATCCCAAATCGAGTTACTTATAAATAATGTCAGCAACTACGTGGTCGATTCCATACCTTTGCCGTCCCGTGACGAATCAATGCAATCCCCGCAAACCCATGTCCGACCCAAACCCATGTCTCTTAAAATATACTAAACGTAAATACGTCCAAACCAATTAACGTTGTTAATACAAAGGTAGAATTGATTAGTTAAGGCGTCTGAAACTAGGGTCCCAAGTGCAAGGAGCGAACACCCAAAATTATCAAATTATTGTTGCCCATTCAATAATTCATACATATGTGAGTTAGGACAATGTAATAAATAGATTGATGTGAGCAAATGTGGCGCACTATTTACCCTCGTAAGCACATGAATATGTTGTACGATAAATAAGTGGATTTAAGTGTGGGAGAGCCATCCTTCAGCACGAATGGGCCGGCTCGACCGGAGTGATACCACGGCCTCACAGAAAACTGACGAGAAACAACGCTTGCGTTGTGTTTCGTCGTGTGAGTGAGGTTACCGGAGGCCCCATTACCCCCCTCCCTATTCCCAGTCTCTCGAACCCCCAAATTCTCCACAATCCTCAAAATCCCAATTCCCAAAAGGCCGGTAACGCACTTGTAACGCCTTGGTGTTTCGAGTGTCCATGGGCGGCGCCGGTTGCTTACCATCAGGTGATCCGTCTGATCGTTTACCGGCTTATGATATAAAAAAAATAAAAAAATACCTATTTACCGTAATCCTATGTGAATTTTCAAATGCCTTTTTAATTTTCTAGATGAAGAACACATTCAAACTGCACCTTCATTTTATTACTATAAATTGGTAGTTAGTAAAGGCAAAACTGCAATGAAGCTCGACCCAAATCAAAACTAATTCGAGCGCTAACTAACCTAAACGAATCCAATTTTTAAATTCACATTGTAACAGCTTTTTCATTTGTAGGCAATGCACTTACATTTGCATGACGAAGCACCACACGGACCGTTCCATTAGGTAACGTTCTCGTTTTGTATTGTAGCAAATGGAGTGACAGGAGTGTGGCATACGCCAAAAACAACATTGAGCTCTCTGTACACGACATGGACTTTTTTGTTCAGATACTTAACTACGCCAATGTTTACAAGGTTCGTATGTGAACTTCCTATGCGTAGGTAACTGCAGGGTTTTCCTTTAAAAACCTTTTAATTAGCTGAGTTAAGCAAAGTGCTCATTGAGCATAGCTCATCTTTAAGTCAAAAGCACAAAGTAGCAAAAGATTGAGTTGAATAAAACTGAAATTATTGTATGAGTAGATACCTTTTTTTATTTAGATACATAAGCTATACATACATTGTAGTTCGTTCATAATTAAACATATTACTCGCTTATATACCTAATTACAAAAATCAGTAAGTGCTTCGAAATGCCTCAATTAAATACTGCATTAAGTACCTACCTAAGCACTCGCACTTAAAAATATGAGTAATTGCAGGTTTATACTCTAAGTCCCGACGAAGTAATCCTGAGTGGAACGCCAGCGTTAACATTCGAGAGCGAAGGGTTCTTGTCTTTTGGAGTGCAAATTACGAGCACTAGAGCATCCGAGGATCTTAAGTACATTCCTTTGCAACTTCGGAAATGCAGGTAAGAATAATGCATTTGTAACACTTACGTAAGTGCCTACTGTTAGTTTGTTCTTTAATTAATTTATTATGCTTGCACCTACTTTAAGATAACAATGGTTATCGCATATTTTTTGATTGCCTCTTCGAATACTGTTGAGTGGCCATTAGCACGAGTGTCCTGAAAGGCATCACTAACAGACTCCTAGGTGGAGTTCAGTAGATGATACCCGATTTTCTGCATTCGTCAGAACGGCGTCTGGGATTATGCGTGGGTACTTACCACGTGTTATATTACATGGGACTCTTAACATAACTGACAAGTGTTACCTGCAATAGTTGCTCTCGGGTGCCAAAGAAAAAAAAAACAATAGTTGCATTGCACCCACTTCTACGAAGACTAAAGGTCGTGATACCTAATGTAAAAAAAATTGCTTTTGTTTGTATTTTTTTTTTCTTTTATGTGTAGCATTTGATCTCCCTCTACTACCTTTATAAAATTGTATTGTTGACAAACAAAATAAATGGGCATTGCAGATTTATGCACGAAACGACTACTAAGCGATACCCAATTTACTCGTACAACCGATGTTTGATGGACTGTAGAATTAAAATGATATTCAAACTATGCAACTGCATACCACACTTTTACAAACCGTTGGGTAAGTTTTATGACATACTACATATAAATCTCGTACACGTCTTTGTTAATTTATTTGCTTGAATTTGGATAAAAAATAGGTACTATTTTTCTGTAAAGACTGAAATAACTTTGGGACAAAAATGTGCATAAAAAAAATATCCCAATTGTAAAAGGGAATGCTTTCAGATAGTGATATCAAGTACGTTGTAGGTAGTAGGTACATTACTACAGATAGCCTTAGGTAGACGGGTGGCAGCCACAATTTTTTTTATTTGATTGGGGAAAATCATGCCATGACTTCTCCTGTACTGGGTGGGTTCGGCGCGAGGTAGTGTCAGACTCTTACGGATTAAAATCAGCCCGATCCTGCTTCTGCCTTTAATCTATTAAATTGTACTTGAACGTTTCAGAACACGAAACCATTTGTAACTTAGCAGAACTGGAATGTGTTCTCGAATACAAGAAGGAAATCATGAAACTGTCCATCGACAATGAAACTATGGAAAAATTCGACAACACTGACGATTTGCCAAGATCTTTTCGCGACTGTGGTTGCTTAGGTAACTGTGAAGAAGACGTGTTTAAGAACGATCATGAGCAATTTGTACCTACTGTAGGTCTCAATCGAATGCGCCTTAGCGTGTCTGCTTTTCCAAAAGTGCGTGTCAGGAGGGAAATTATATTCAGCTTCTATGACCTCTTTTGTAAGTAAAACTACTTTTTACTATCGCGTAGATATTCCAGCAGATAAGTGACGCAGTTTTACTTCCAGTGCGTAGTGGTGGTGTCGTCAATCTATGTATTGGAACCTCAGTAATCTCAATAATGGAACTTATACTTACTGCAGTAAGGATCCCTATTTACGAGATAATGCAAATTGGAAAAGGAATATGGCGGCGATATAAGAAGTCAAAAATAACCAGGTTCTCCAATAAGAAAAAGCAGATTTAGGAAAAAAAATTTAATCAATTCCGTTTTACCAGGTTGTTTTTACAAAATATTTTTATTTATAAGTTAAGTATTTTACAATATACTATTCTTAGCAAAAAGCTATCACAAGTCCCCAAAGTTTACCTGTAACAAAATAAATTACCTATATCAGTAAAAAGTTTGCATACATCAACCCCCTCCATATGCTATCTAGAAAGAAAGATCCTTCATATTTCTAAATGTGATTGATCAACTGTCGTTTGTTGATAGGCGACGCGTTTAGCAAACTGCATAAAATAACTGAGAATTCCGATCCAGAGGCCGGTATCTCAGTGACCTCACGCACGATAGTTATTTTTGTAGGTTAGTTTGGAACTTAAAACTACTACAGGTTACAAAACATTCAACAAAATCTATTAGGTTAGACGTCACAAAAATAAACTTGACTTTATAAGCTTACCTTGTTACAATGACTCATGTCATATCTTCACTTCACTCGGCTCCATAAAGCATCATTCTCGGATTGTGGATGTGCGCATGTTGCGAGTCTAATTACTGTTATTGTAGGTCATGTTTCTGGATTTAAATGCGTGGAATTAGCAGCTTAGCTCTCTCTGTGTACCAAAGGGTTTTTTCTAGTCAAAACGTTTCCAGGCTAAGTAGGACGTTATGGACCAAGATCCTAGGCTAAGTCTCCTCGTGGCTTAGCCACAACTGTGTTGGTTCTTAATCTTTTAATGGATCTACACCAATAGCTGAGAATGCTATTTTTCCTGATGGCTATCGCTTTACTAGAGCAGCATGCTGTCAAAAATACAAAAAGTTACAATCGTTGTAGGGTCAAAAACTGACCAAAATTTGGTTGATTAATTGGTATATTTACCTGCATCCTTGTCAATTCAATCGAGCAGTCACAGTTTGCATCATCATGCTCTCCATTTCGGATACATTGACAAAACTGTCATAGTCAATTTAGCTTATCCATAGTGATCTGAAAAAGATATCTATTAAAACAAAGGTCTAGAATTCTTCCACGTTTATTCAGAGTAAACGATCGACGGAAAGTTGGAACTTAATCAAGTCATGAACCACAAAACCTTGGAAAAGACATGACACAGTACCTACATCCAAATTTTTATCATCACGAATCTTGTGAAGCGATTACTTTGCGTCCGCTGGTGTAGAGAATACAAAGGCTACAGGCTGCTCTCACGGACCGACCAAACCAATCTTCTTGCAGAACCGATGATAGCGACCGATAACCATTAGTATTCTAGTCGCTCCTTCAGACGCTGGATGTACCATGACATGTAGAAAGGTTGTGTAGTTTATAAATTTTGGAAACCTGCTGCTATCTAAACAATATCAGCTGTTTGCAGAGTTACTCAAGAATGAACATTTTCTAAATATGACAGTTCTATAAAACCCCATGCACACCCGAAACAAATAACAAAAATCCAAGTTCGATGACGGCAAACTTACCATTCGAGTCGAAGAAGTTTGAAGACGTATTTCATAGTAATTTCGACGCATCACAGACCCAACTTTTGCAATCTTCGAAAACTTTTCGTGGTGAGTGAGACAGCTCAATGTGAAATCTTTATTTATGAAGTAAACACAGGAGTACCAACATACCCTCGATACCAATTTAATAATTACAGGTTGAGAGGTAAAATTGTGAGTACATTATATTATTTTTAGAAACATTAGAATTCATAGCCCACTGAGCCACACGATGAATTTTTATTTGACGTTGTATATAGCGAACAATCGAGTGTAATACGAAAAAAAATGTCGACCGAATTCCAGTTTATAGCACACAGTAACTCGCACATAGGTAAATTTATTACCAGACTTCATTGATCAATGGACATTCAGATGAAGAAATTCGTACTTTAGCAAATGTCTTCACCAAATAAAATAGCTTAGTGCTAACTCAACAAGTTTCAACTGGCGATAGAATTGAAATTCAGAAGCAATTCAAAAAAACACAAACACCATTTTATACCGATTCTAGGATTTTTCGTGTTTACATCACGTCGATGCGCTGTAGTGTCGATGCTCTGCTCAATCCTTAGCTCGTTCTAATTAGAACCCAATTGTAAGTTGAGACTTGATATTTGCCAAATTACAGCGATATTCTAGAATCGAACAGTCGCTACAACAACGTTTGCGTTTGTTTAGATATACACTTAGCGACTAGCGAGATCACCAGTTGCACGATAACACTATTTGCCTAACACCTCAAATTAGTATGGGCCGTTTACTGTAACTGTTACAAGGAACTGACACTTTATCGACACTGCTAAACATTGAATTAATCATGGATCTGTCAAAATTATGGAGCATAACAACAATATTATTTCCTCAATGAAATTTATTAAGCTTTACATAGAGGCTACATGAAACATACTTGATGCTTACATTAACTTAACCTAAAATACACGTGTATTAGATATTCAACGTCAATCGAGAAAAGTTTTGAAAACACATCACCAAACACTATTCAAGACGAAGATGACAAAGCATTCCATTATCCCGGCGGCAGAGTGTATACAAACCCAGAATCAGACTGACTTCAAAACTTTCCTGAAATCACAAAAAGTACAACATTTAAATGTCTATTCGACGCATGCGTCTGCTTTCATGTGCAACTTTTATGCTCCGATTTATTACGATGAGTAGATTTTTCGGCGGTATCCTATAAGGAGGTAGATTTTTAGAATTTCAAGACAAGTAAAGACGGGAGAAGCAGATGTCCAAATATCCGTCTCAGAGGCAAGACAATAAGGTGCAAGCCGGACGAACAACATTACCAGGAAAACATGCTTATTGCTATTGTCGGCGCTAGACAGTAGATCATTGCACACACTAAACTAAGGAGTATTTATTAATCTGTCAGCAGTCAATATGGAAAATAAAGTTGTAAAAGGCTAAGGATAAACGCTAAAAGCTCCTATTGCCCAAAAAGGTAAAAGAAGTAGAAAAACACGATAATATCGCCGCGAGCAATCTAGACAGTTTTAGAAAAATCTACTCATTAACTTATATTTCCCGAAGACGAATCGAAACGGTTTCGTTGATTTTCGAATGATAATGTACGAGTTTCCTAAAAGCAAAAATATCGAACATTCTGGAATAAAAAGACACTATTAGAAAGAAAAATAAAACTTACTCTTCAGCGGCCGCCTGCTAAAAAAAGCGAACATCGATCGTCCTTCCATCGATGCGGGTGCGGTCGAACATTTCTGATTTTTTAATTAAGGAAACTTATCCTTAATAAAGATAAAGTACATGCGAAATAACACGAACAGTCTATGATTTGTTTTAGATTTAACTTCAGTATACATGAAACTGTAAAAATCAACAACCAGAGACATTTTCTAAGCTGCAAGGTAAGACATTTTATACTTTATTTATTTATTTATTTATTTATTTATTTATTCCACTTACATTTATCTTTACAGATGCCCAATGCGATAAATGTGCTCATCTTACTATCTACCTATAGCATATTACATATAATGCCTTCCTTGTGAATTCACCCAGAGTACAACAAAATAGGTCGATTTCATTAGAAATCAGGTTGAGCGTGCGAAGTGCACGCGTCAGCGGCGCTTCCCTTAATAGGTTGGTCCGACCGCGGGGTTCTACCAGCAGTGGCGGTCGCCGGCGTCGCCATACGTACCTATCCGGAACACATAGACTCAGCTGTCCTAAAATGACTGCATTGTGCAGCTTTCCTCTTAATATTTTAAACAAATGTGAGGTAAGTGCAAAATCCCGTCTTACCCTTAACTCATTGTACCCCACCATGCCTAAAATAAATAATGTGGGATACATCAATGGGTAAAACGGATAGACCCCATAGTACCTCGAGTATAAATATCTAATAAATTTATTTTGAATTCTCTCCAGCATGAGACTATATTTAGCTTCATGCGGAGACCATATGACTGCGTTACATTCTAACTGGCTCCTAACTAGTGCGTTATATAGTGTGATGATGGCTTTTATGTTAGTAAATCCACGGACCGTTCGGAGCATGAAGCCTAAGTTTCTAAAAGCCTTTTTACAACAACCCATAACGTGTTCACGGAATGTCAGACCGGTGTTAAATCTTACTCCCAAATCCTTGACTTCCCCGACTCGCGCCAAAGGCTGCCCCTCAATGTGATATCTGCCCTCAATAGGATTATGTGCACGCGAAAACGCAATTGTAACACATTTCGAACTATTGAATTGTAGGAGATTTTCTTTACTCCAGCTCACCACTCTATCAATGTCCCTCTGTAACCTGACACAATCCTCCTCAGTTCTTACTGCAAGAGATAATTTGAGATCGTCAGCAAATAACAGACAATTAGCATCTTGGACTACTTCTGGCAAGTCATTTACCACCAGAAGGAAACTTAAAGGTCCAAGATTGCTACCTTGACTCACTCCTGATCTAGTGAAATATGGATCCGACACATGTCCCGCATATTCAACATATTGTCGCCTATCCCTCAAGTAGCTGGCAAAAAACTGAAGTGTATGCGGGGTGAAACCAAAGCTAGCGAACTTCGTAAGCAACACGTCATTATCGACAAGGTCGAATGCTTTTCGGAAATCGAAATAAGCAGCATCAGTCTGCCCCCCACCATCCACTGTTGGTATCAGATGAGCCATGTGACAGAGAAGATTACTGGTGGTGCTCCTTCCCGGTCGAAACCCATGCTGAGCATCGGAGAGCTGCGCGCGCACTTGTACATATATGCTCTTATGGATAGCGGTTTCTAATACTTTTGCCGGTGTCGACAATACTGCTACTGGCCGAAACCCATCTACAGATTCTGCAGATACCCCCTTCGGAACCGGAACAACGCGAGTCACTTTCCACCTCTCAGGGAACATGGCAGCTTGCAGACACCGATTATAAATATGAAGCAGTGGCTTTGCTAGCGCTGAACGACAATCCTTAAAAATATAAGGGGGAATGCCATCAGGCCCTGCGGATCGCTTCGGCTTTAGATCTTGTAGCGCTCGAGACACATCTGCTAGCGTTAATTGGTCAAAGTGTACTCGCGCCGCTCCGTTTCCACTACCTGCTCTTGCTACAGCCGCGTCAACGTCCAGCGCTGGTTGTTGTTACTTGTTGTTGAGTATTTTTGTAAAAGGATACTTATAGCTCTTTCCGCATCCCACTCCTTATGGAAGCGGACCACAGCTGTATCGGGAGCAGTCATTTCAGCGAACTTCACATCGCCGCACTCGCTGAACTTCTCACGAATCAACTGCCACGTCACTGTCGGCGGCAACTGGGTCAAAAGAAAAACAAGTTATAGGCGTGTTATTCCTATTTAATAACGATTTGTTGGACGTGCATGTTACGGAGCATCGAGCAGATTGCCGGATTAGGGAGTCGCTAGAATCGGTCGAATGTTTGTACGACCCTGTCCAATTTACGAAAAAAATAAGTGATATTTACTAAAACTAAATCCCTATCCTTCGTAACTAACGGATGCTTCATAGTCTGACAACGAATTAACAATCTATATAAATAAAAATGAATTTCCCTTCGTTAGTAAACCTAAAAAACGGCTGAAGCGATTTGGCTAATTTCGGTCTAGAAAGTGTTAGTGAAAGTCCAGGGAAGGTTTAAGAGGAGAAAATAAAATAGGCGGTACGAAGTTTGCCGGATCAGCTAGTTAATCAATAAGCAATATCTATTGTCTATAATAATTTAAATTTAAAAGTTATTTAGTTGCAAGTTTATACAATATTAAATACAATCGTAATTCAATAACCCCTGCACACATAAGACAAAAGCAGTCTTATCACTACAAATACTTACATTAGTGATGATGACCATGTCAGATGATTTGTCCCTGCTTGATTGCTGGACCCCGGGATCCCGTCCGTATTGGGCTGAAACTGTCACACCACCCATTTGTCTGTTATTGCCTAGAAGTAACATGTGTAACAATAAACAGACTACAGTATTTATCTGATTCAAGTTTCTGTTGATATAACTAACGTTGAATTTTCATAAGAAATGTGTAAAAATATGTGACAATTAAAGTAACAGAAACTTTATCAGACCATTTGAAACAGGCACTTAATATTTTGTGTATTATCTTTTTTTACGAAATTTACGAAATAAAACCTGTTTGAATTACTAACCTGAGAGAGGTCCAGAGCTAAGTGTGTTGTTGCCCATAACACTGTTGGCCAAGCTAGAGTTGTTCAAGTTGAGGCTTGAACCTAAGTCTGTATTACCAAGTCCCAAGTTATTTGAGTTCACATTGGCCTGTGCTGTGAGCACTGTAGCCAAATCATTAGCAGTCAAACCTTGTTGCAGCAACTGATTTTGTAAAGCTCCCAAGCCAGTCAAACTAAATGCCTGAAAACATAAGTACAATTAATAATGAACCTTCAAGAATTAGAAATAAGATAAAAAATACTTTTTAATGTTATTGTTTTTCTTACCTGTAGTCCTAAGTTACCGCCCAATGCTGTGTTGGTATTTAAAGTGTTAGCTGATAATCCTGCTCCAAGTCCATTCAAAGTCACACCAGCGGTAGGTACCGCACCCAAAACTCCTGCACCCAATGCAGTCCCAGTATTTGCTAGACTTAGATTTGTAGTAGTTGGTGTCTGAGTTGGAAGATTCCTTGCTACATCTCTTAAAGGCTCCCCATTAGGTCCCAGACCAAGACCAATGCTTTTCAAGCCTTCTGGTAACCTTACTTCACCCTTATCTGTTACACCCCTGTCCATGCGCACTGTCATTCTTCGATCATACAACATTTGTTTGTCAAACATCGAAATTGCCTGTAAATAAGGAAAATATTTTGTTATTTATTACAGCAATATCTAATGTACATGCATTTGACACAAGATTACTATTATTAGAAACTATCATTATTTAATACCAACCTGAACTGCCTCAACTGGATGATCATACTCAATAACAGCAAATCCCCTGCTGTTACCATCTTTGTCTACTGCCAGATCAATGTTGCGGACTTTGCCAGCCATTTTGAAAACTTCCTTTATTTTAGTCCTATCTGCTTTGTAGTCAAGCTGAAAGAAACCAAGTTTGTATTAGTTACAACTAAAGTTCAAGTAAATCTTAAGGTTGAATGAGAACATAATATCAGGACAGATGTAATATGTTTATACTAATAACAATAAAAATAATATTCATACTTACATTGGCAACAAATACTTTCTTAACCAAAGGTGGTTGTACATTTATGGACTCAAGAAACTGGAGACTTAGACCATAGGTATTGTAATTTTCTGGTTCCCGAGGCTTACTGATACCCCAGTTGAAAGAACTGCAAAAATTGAACCAAACAAAAACATTGAATGAAAGTACCAGTAAATATTTAAATCACAGTATCAAAAATTTATGTATTAAGATAACAAAGAGAAATAAATACACTATGAAACATTTTATCTGGTGTTATTTGAGACAATCTGTCAAAAAGATACATTTTTATTTATTATCTTGATAAATATTTATAATTCTTATCGGTAATAAGATATTCTACACAAATATGGAGATGATAGATATATCTCTAGAGCTACCTGTCTAACATTCCCTTATTTCTGTTCTTTATGGCCTTGTAATAATAGGTTTCATTAAATAATAACATTCATCGATTAATAAGAAAACCATATCATCACAGTACTTACTCCTTATCATCATTCCTAGCATTACGGCCTCCGCCGCCTCCACCACCACCACCGCCTCCAGATCGAGAGGAATTCATCCTATTCCTGTCATTACCTGAAACTAATATTCATAAACTTGTGATTACAATAAATAAAACTAATTCACCACTACAAGTTATGATCAAGTACCTGTTTCCTCCTTCAATACTAGTTTACGACCGTTCAACTCATAGCGGTGCATGACAAATAAGGCTTTCTTCATGGCCTCAGGGTTAGTGAACTCAACTACACCACAACCTCTAGGTTTCCCGTTTTCGTCATTGAATAGTTCTACGTAAGCCACATCTCCAACCTACAAATGAAAATTTGCAGTCAATAAAAAAATGTACACATAAGCGTAACTAATGATGTCACTCTTGCGTTTTACTGCTTTACCTTCTCCTTAAACAAATCCTTTAATTCCGTCCAGCGAAATTCATAAGGAATATTGGACACTAACAATCTTTTCCCTTCAGGGCGCTCCCGGTCGCTTGAGCGATCTCTGGTTGCATCGGAAAATCTGGATGGTCGGTCCCCTCGTCTGGATCGATCACGTTCTTTTTCTCGCTGATTATCCATCGCAATTTACACCTGTTTAACAAGGAACTCCTTAATTATGTAATACATTAAAAAATTAATCCACCCCTCAAATGCCGGTAGGACGGCTGCAAAATCGATCTTTTGATGTTAATCCAATAAATCCCAGCATTTCACTTACCAGCACTTTAGAATGATATATCAAAAATCACTAACGTGATTGTGATCTTATTGATCAAATATACGTAAAACAACAATATTTTATATTGTTGATGACGCAAAAATACATGCACTCTACTTGCTTACAAAATGGTGGCGAAAAGCAACAAGCAACACTACACTAAATTGGGTTACCATTAAATAAAAATATTTATCCTAATACCAAAGACAAAGGAACGATATTCTTGTTATCTAAAATGACCATTAATTAATCTAGATTTTGTTCATATTGTCCAGACCATGCAAACAAATACCTTTTTAATATGTAAAAAAAAGTTTAGAACATTCAAGAATATGTACAAAGAAAAGTGTTCAGAAGACATACTCAGTCCTTGCACGTATTAAGAAAATTTTAATAAATTCGAAACTCCTTGAAACCCTAGATGTAGATTTAAAAAGAAATACAAAATGGTAGGGACTTAGTAGGGACAAATATTATGAATATTTTTAAGGCATAATAAGGTTAGGTATAGGTATTAAAAATATATAAAAGCATTTGTGTCTTGACAATTATTACATGTAGTAGTAGTTTATTTTACCCAAAGAAAGAAACATTATTTATAAAATCGTGTCTCATATTTTTGTGGCATTGCATATTGCGCATAATGAATGTGTCAGGAGCCTAGTGTAATATATATTTATCACAGTAGACCAAACGGAAAACTTACTAGCAACACTCAAATAAAAATGATATTTAACCAATGAACATAAATGATAACGTCAATGGTAGAATTTTTAACCAATCAGGAGAAAGATTGTGTTATCATTACCATGAATGTTGCCAGCTTCTTGATCACTCTTTTGAAAACTTCCATAACCTTAGAATTTGTACCAAAACGTTGTCATTTTTTTCAGCGTCATATCAAAAATCTACCAACTAAAGCGCTACCTGTCGGCGTTTTCTAACTTTTGTTTGTCCCTCACGGTCGGTGACATATACACGCACACATTCATGTTTGTGATTGTATTGCTTCATAAATATTTTTCGCTTACGATAGCCATGCAGGAGGCAACCTGTGCTAAATTTTTATTATAATAAGTAGTTTTAATAATCTACAAATTATGGAGCAGAGTAAATCTATTTCACCTAGACTATTTGTGTGCACCGCCATAGAAAACAAGGACGAAGTGGAAGAGGTACTGTGTAAAATTTCGCAGTTTCTCAACAAAGAATATCTATATAGTCGGCCATGTACAATCGTATTTTCTAACACTAGTAGTGGTGGCGCTGCAGTGTGCGTGGCGCGAAATTCAATTTTCTTGTGAGCTTTCAGTTATCTTATTAGATTTTATCGGTTTCAGCGGTACGAGAGAGCTTACAACTACTTCCAATCACTTGTGGCTGACTGCAGCGAAAAGGAAGCTCACGATGCGCTCAACAATGCCGTATGTAAGAACCATGAAGATGTGTCTGTGGGAATGTTGATGTCCATTCTCACAGAACCCCACAATGCCACCAAATGCTACAGAGATCTTACCCTAGTGACGCGGGACGGTCTGACCTGCGTGCTCAACAACCTTTCCACCTTAATATTAGAGAGGTATTTGAAGTTTCATGATACTACTCGCAACCAGTTGCTATGGTTAATTAAGGAAATGATAAGGAATGCAGTAACTGGAGTTGATAGTGTTTGTTGGAATTTAATGCGTTATGCATCTGGTGGAGATATTACTCCCAAGAACATAATATTGGTAGAATCTCTCTTAGATATTTATATTGAACACCGAGCATGGTTGGACAAGTTTCCAGTACTTATTTGCATGGTGGTGTATACATACTTGAGGTTGATAGAAGATCACAATATACCACAACTTATGAGTTTAAGACAGAAAGAAGTTAACTTTGTTATCACTCTCATAAGAGAGCGCTTCTCAGATGTGTTAACTTTGGGAAGAGATCTAGTAAGGTTGCTGCAGAATGTTGCACGGATTCCTGAGTTCAATCAACTATGGCAAGACATATTAATAAATCCCAAATCTTTATGCCCCACATTTACAAATGTGCTACAATTATTGCAAACAAGAACCTCACGTAGATACTTACAATCAAGACTCACCCCTGATATGGAGAGGAAACTTGTCTTTTTGACATCGCAAGTCAGGTTTGGTCACCATAAAAAGTATCAAGAATGGTTTCAAAGGCAATACTTGGCTACACCTGAGTCGCAGTCTCTTAGGAGTGACATGATTCGTTTTATTGTTGGTGTAATACACCCTACTAATGAACTCTTGTGTTCTGATATCATTCCACGGTGGGCAGTCATTGGCTGGCTACTTACTACTTGTACTTCCAATGTAGCAGCATCAAATGCAAAACTAGCACTCTTCTATGATTGGTTGTTTTATGACCCTGAAAAGGATAACATAATGAACATTGAACCAGCAATTCTGGTCATGCATCACTCAATGAGATCACATCCTGCTGTAACTGCAACATTACTTGATTTTCTATGTCGAATCATTCCAAACTTTTACCCACCATTTGCAGACAAAGTTAGGCAAGGCATTTTTAATTCCTTGCAACAGATCATAGAAAAGAGAGTACTTCCAAATTTACATCCTCTCTTTGACTCTCCAAAGTTGGACCGTGAACTAAGAACAACTGTAAGGGAAACTTTTAAAGAGTTCTGCACCAATGGAAATGGTGAGGGCGTGTCAGGAATTCGCGATGAGGGTAATGATGACTTACCAAGAGGAGGTCCTGATGAACCTGCATTTTCTGACGATGAAGAAGAGACCACTCCTAACATCGCGGAAGACACGGACGATGACGATTTACCACTTTCCGAAGTCCGTGCACGAGAACGACCCGAATTATCTGCCGCAATGCCTCTCATGTTACGTCCTCTTGCAGAAGCATTATTAGACGATCGCACAGCCGCGGCTGCCACTGCCCTCATTAACGCTTGTGGCTCTCCAATGCCTACAGCCACTGCACTCGCTGATCTTTTTGTAGCAGCTTGTCAAGAAGTGCCACCCTTAAAAGTTAGCCGTACCCCAACACAAGCGGAAATCGAAATGGCTCTGAGTACACCACTCTTTTCCATGTTTACTTTTCTAACAAGCAATGATGAACCCAAACGCAAATTAATACTAGAAACATTTAAAGAAATTCAAGCTCAAAACACTCTTCGCACTGTGGGATTCAGTTTATTGTTCTATTTAAAAGTTTGTTATGAACGAGAAAGGCGCGCTGAACGCGATTTAGATAAAAGAAGAAACGTTAAATTCAAAGCAGATGTGTATAAAGAGTACTGTAGCTATTTAGAGATGAAGCTTCCTGATAGTTTGGCCGACGACTTTGAGAGATGTCAAGAATGTGATGCCAATGTATTGGTGTGGTTGATCCCCGACGTGTACAGAGAATTCAAAGAGCAATCTCAGAACCATATACGAATGTTACATGCTATCGTTTCCACACTGGATGCGGGTCAACTACAGAGACTCGTTGGTCTGACTCTTCAAGGCACGTTGATGATGTTCAAGTCGGATGACATAACGCTAATGCTGTCGACGAGTCTAGGCTGGGAGACTTTCGAACAATACTGTCTTTGGCAGCTTCTAACAGCACATGATATATCCGTTGAGGATGTGTTGCCGATCATACCGAAATTGCAATGTAAAGATCACGCTGAAGCTTTGACATCAGTTCTTTTGATGTTAAAACAAGAAAAGCCTACTGCAGACGTAGTGCGACAACTATTCTGCCGACCTGTAGACGAAGAAGATACATTTGTGGTATCTACTTTGCTGTATTGGTGCCAAGATTACGAAGATAAAGTTGGCGATTTGCTGTCAGCTATTTTAAGCACAAGATACCCAGGTACTAGTCCCAACAAGAGAAAACGTCCGGGAAAACATAGCATTCCACCAAATGCTCCACCTTCAGCTGAATTGGTAAATATTGTTTTTTTTTTCTCATTCATAAGAACTTAATTATTTATCATTAATCATTCTTAAATGCTTAACATAATTAATATTACCCAATCATAATTAATATGTCATTAAAATAGTACTTAATCTACGACGTAATTTATTAAACTACAAATTGTCATGTAGTTACCTACCTAAGTACTTACTTGAAAATCTTTGAAACTTCAAAGATTCATAAAAATTTAATAACTTCCTAAAACTTAGCTATATACCCAAGAACAAACTAAAAACACCTTGTTTAGTTCTCAAAACCTTTTTGCCCGCGACTTCGTACGCGCAATCCCGTTTTCTCCCGTTCCCGTAGGATTTTCTGGATTTTTTCTGACATAAGAACCTTCTCCTGAAAATAACAAACACAATAAAAAAGAAATCAGCCAAATCGGGCTAGCCGTTCTCAAGTTATGGTGTGACAAAGGGAAACGGGTTTCATTTTTATATTATTGATAATGCCTGCCTCGTTGGCCGGGTGCGACTGCCGGGCAAGGGGTTTCGGGTTCGATTCCCGAGTCGGGCATTGTACTATTAGGTTTGAAAAAAATTTCAGTAGTAACACGGAGTCAGGAATTGTGCCCGGTATATGGCAATAGGCTCATCCCCTATGACTCATGTCATAGGGCATGAGCTGTTGTTGTTTTTTTGGATTGTTGTTGTTGTTGGATTGAGATGAGAGTGGGTGGTACATTGTAAGTAATCATCATCATCATAACATCACGCCTTTTATCCCCGAAGGGATAGGCAGAGGTGCACATTATACTACTGTACATGTAACACCCACTTCTCACTATCACTTCTTCACCTCTGTCTTCTCCTGCGGGGATAAAAGGCGTGATGTTATTTTATGTTGTTAATATATTAAAATCTGTATGTATATTGATAAGAGAAGACATAAATTTGACATCGGTTCTGTTAATTGTGCAATAATAATTTTTGGCGTCATTTGCATAAGCCGAAGTCAGTGACAATCTATGGAAACACATTTGAATAATAATTTATGTGTACTTCATTTTACAGGTGCTTGGCCATTTAGAGCAATTGAGAGTATGCTGTGTGGAACAAAATGACATGTCAATTTTTAATATGGAGTGCATGCAGAAAGCACTTCATCAAGCGCTGTCGAATAGTAGTGATAGTTTAAGGGTAAGTTCTTTTATTATATTTTAATCTATCCACGTCTCAATCATGAGAATGCTTTCGGGCATAGGCCCGAAGTATAGAATAAGGTATACTTTATTTAGATACCTATGCCCTGTCTACCGAAAAGGTACGCCATTAATCCTTTTCGTGGAAAAGGTACGCCAGCAGTGCATTCCATTGAAATGGTAAATCAGTGGATCTTCCTATGTAAAAGGAGATTCTAAATTCTTAACCACACTATAATATCTGCAAAAAAGCACCTTTTCTTTTCCTTTTTTTTTTTCTTTCAAATTCGTTTGATGGTGTGGTGTTTGTTGGCTTTTTGTCATTATTGGTGCCTATCCTGCCTTAATCTGCATTCATTGAATTGACTTGACCAAGTCGCGAAAATCGTTAAAATTCCGTTTCTTAAAGAATTAAAATTTAGTAATCATAAAGCCACGTTAAGTCGTTAAACTGGCGTTCTCAAGTACTACCTACTAAATATCGTCTTCAAAAAAGCGGGTCTTTAGTTTCTAGTTTTCTGGATGTACCGTTCGCTCGATTCTTGCTTTTCTATTAATTAAACAAAAACCCGTTAGGTTGTTAGGGCTCAATGATGCAAATGGCCTTCTATTAAACAGTATTAAATAATTACCATAATATTATATTAATAATATGTATAAATAGTACCTATAATTTCGAAAGTAAGTACATGGATGAGTTACTTATATTATTATGTATAATGGCATAAGGAAAATAAGTTACATATTTCACTAAAACAGGACAAATCTGACTGCAGGATTAATAAACATTTGAACAACACAATTCATTCTGATAAACTTAATTCTAACATCTAGGTTAGGTACCTACTGGTTATCAGCAAATGTAAAAATATGTATGTACTAAGTATGCTATCTGTATTATTATGATTATTTAATCATTCGATAATATGCCCAGTGTCCAGTGATATCTGTGAGAATACTTTAGTTTGGAATCGGACCCACCACACGTGGTGTAACATCCCAACATCCGGTCTTTTTAATAGTTTAGTTTATAATAGTTTAGTAGTGAGAATACACACACAATATATAGTTATGTCATATACTTTCTGTGAATTCAACTATACCCATAACATCACGCTTTCTCTAATTGGGAGGCAGAGGGGTATAAAACAAATAAATATAACTAGGTACCACTATTCATATGTTATTAGTTCCATGGAGTGGAGTAACCGAGAATTTTAGAGAATTGGAAATTTTCAATAGTAGGTACTTATCCGACTCGAAATTAAACCTCCATGTCCTTTGCACAACCTGTAGTTATTTTTTATTGCATACTATAGCAAATTAGCAGACTGGCTACCTGATGGTGAGCATTCGGTACCGTTCATGGACATCCACAACGCATATGGAGCATAGGAAGGAGAAGAGGGGTATAATTTGATATGTATAACTAATTTATCAATATTTTAATTACAGAGACAATATAGTGATTTACTCGCTTTGGCGTGGGAGGACGAGTTGCCTATCTCAAGACGAGCCAGGAAAATAGTTTCAAATTCATTACCAATTAACCAGAATCTGCAATCATCTAATGAAGATAGTGAGGTGAATAAACTTCTTATTACTATGCATTAAAAGTTAATTACTAACAGTACCCTTTAACACATTAAGCAGTAACTTTTAATAAATTGTTTTAGTCATTTGTTGTGACCCCCTATTTGTAATATAATATCTTAGTCACAATATAATATCATTTGGTACTAAATTAAAGTTACATTGGTTCATGATAAATAATGATGTTCATCCTAACCAATTTCAGTTACCTACTTTGACTCTGTTTATGATTCTATTGTTTGAAAATTGTGTTTCAAAATATTTTTTTTTTTATTTTCAGGAGGAAGAGATAGTTAAACCTAAACAGGCTAAACGAAGAAAGAAGGCAATCTCGGATAGTGATTGACATATCTTTTGTAGCAAGAATGGTAATTTTAAACACCAAAGTGCAACTCTACAATACAATAAATATTAGTAGTATGTGTAATAATAAATTGTTTGTTACCTTACGTTATTACACAGGTGCAATTCCAAGAATGGTACCTAGTTCACTCTCGCATAATTTTGCCTTGGTACTGTGTAAATGATTTTATGACTGTTATGTATATCCATGGTTTTATTAGATATTTTTAATTTACATGTTGTAATATCTTAATGGCCGTGGTATTAGCTACAATATTGAGACGATTGAACAAGCTCACAATAAGATCAAACCTCCATAATAAGAATCTTCCAATAGCCTCATTCTGCAGGGATAATGTTATAGGACAGATGTGTATAGTAAATTTGCCACTGTAGTCATTTATTGTAAATGTAGGTACCCTATTTGTTGTACAGATTTTTTTTTAACCCCCATACATGTTGAACTTATTTTAAGTATAAGGTATGAGACCAAGAATTTTATTCAAAGGATATATTGTATTCTGGAATTTTCGAAATACATTTTACACTAGGATCAATAAAGTATTTCCCCTTTATTTTATGTTTTAATTGACCTAAATAAAAATGTATGTTGCATTAAAACAAATATGTATTTTCGTTTTTTTTATACATATATATATATTTTCTTTAAAACATCCAGAATATAGGGATACTGATTGTAAACAGATTGTTCAAATATTTCAGTATTTAACATAAAATCGAATATGTTCTAAGTACAAAACTAACATAACTATATAAAAATACTAAACAGATTAAATTTTCAGGAAATGGTAAATATTTTATTATAAACCTTAATTTATTCCAACAATATTGATGAATAATTGTATTTATAAAATGTCTTTTCAAGAAGTCTTTGCAATAAGGACTATCTATGATTATTTCAATGGACTAGCGGTACCTTTAACAACACAACACCCTCACCAAGCCTGATACATGCTTACATTCTAATAAATCTTATAAAAATTGGATCAAGAAGATTCTTATAACTAAAGTTTTCCTTGCTTATATCTTTGTCTGGCTTGCGCCTTACTGTACTTTGATTTTTTCTCAGGTACTGTTGTATCTTTTTCATTTGAATTGTCATTTACACCTGCAAAGAATAATGCATAAAATAATATTAGTAGTTATAAACGTCTGCCCCTTTGGCCGAGAGGTCGCAAACGCGACTGTCGGTCATGGGGTCTCGGGTTCGATTCCCAGGTGGGGCAAAGTATTACGGGGTTTTTAAAAATTCTCAGTAGTAGCACGGAGTCTAAAATTGTGCCCTATATATGGCAATAGGCTCATCCCCTATTACATGGGACTCATAACATAAATAGTCAAAAGTGGGTGTTACATTGTACAATGGCATAGTGTACACCTCTGCCTACCCCTTCGGGATAAAAGGCGTGATGTTATGTTATGTGAATTAAGCCATGTGGTGTCATGATGAAAATGCTTAGAAAATTACATTTACAATGATTATTTCTCACTTAATGATGAAGATGTTTGCAGTCAGATTACTTATCTTTTGATGCCAAGATAGGCATGAATACATTTCTATTTTTGCTTAGTCACTATGATAAATTAATGTCTGTAGTGGCTATTCAGAGATTTTTTTTTTAATTTGTTAAATTTTATTATAGGAAGTGTATTCAATTAATAGAAGCGAAGTAAAGATATATAAGATAGAAATAATAGATTATAGTACCTAAGTCCTCCGGAGGTTGTAAGGATTTCCCAGCACTCATAGAACTCATTAAGTTGACACTCTTTCCTATTGCCCAACCCATACCTGCAAGGGCAAGCGCAAATGCTACCATGCTAAAGGGATGCTAAAAGAAAAAGACAAAAGAAATTAGACAACAGAATGAATTAAATTATTCATTTTATTACAGAAATTAATACTAGTAAGGGTGCTTACCGATAATGTTGGATTTGCAGTTAAACTGTAATCCAAAACAACAATACCAATTCCAAAGATTAAACCCACACAAGTACATATCCATATTATGTTTTGACTATCTGAAAGAAAACATGTTTAAATTATCGTAAAACACATTTAATGAAGCCACATTCATGGATAAGAAACCTTAAAAAAAAGTAGTGAATACTAAACGAAACATGTATAACAATGAAGTTACTTATTCTGTATAGAATATAACAGGTTTACATATAAAAAACATACCTTTAATTTTCTTTTTTTGCATATCAGAAATGTTTTTGATGGATTCCATTAGCTTAACATTTTGAGGATCTAATTGTAATGCTCTTGTGTATGATATTATTGCTTCGTCGTAAAGTTCGCTCGCTGCTTCGACCTCAGCACGACGAAAGTAGCCCTGAAAACAAGGTAAGAGATTACTGATGTGGGTTTTATCAACATTGTGGATAATGTGACGTTTATTCTATCTAATATCTAAGTACATCTCAGTTAAAGTAATAATAACTTACCTTCGCCCACTGTGGCTGCAATCTAACGGTTTCATTAGCATCTTGTAGTGAGAGATAATGTTGATCTAACTTCAGAAAAGCAAATGATCTGTTGCTGTATAAGAGATAGTTATTAGGATCCATTTTTATAGCCTGTGTATAATGCAGAACAGCCTCGATATACTTTCCATCCTTTACACATTCATTGCCCTTAACTTTAAGTTCTTCAACACTTAAAGTCTGATTGGTTTTCTTATTTTCCTCCATGGTTTTAATCGTTCAAGGAAAATATTGTTTGGTAAAAAATAATTTATTGCTTATTCTTGATTTTGATAGGTTTAACTGCTATGGTTACAGTTTATCTTACTAATAAAATTATAAAATATTTTCCCGGGAGAACATCCCGAAATCCCGACAAAATGACAATGTCAATTTTAGTAAATTGAATGGTTTTAGTTGAATGTCATTGAACGAATGATTAAATCTTAATTTGACATCTCTGTTCAATGTTACCAATTTAAAAAGAAGTAATCGTAAAAAATAAAAACATTTATTAATAGCATACTCTCTTTTAAACTTAATACTTAACCGGTTGATAGGGCTCCAAAGCAAAGCAGGAAAATAAATAATTATTCCTTCTCACGTAAAAACCGGTGAGAACTTATGTTACATCTTTGTTAACCTCACCTCTAGTCTTAAGTTATGTGTAGACTACCATAGACAGTATTAGAAGTGCAGTGAGTGAATATGTGTGTCAGACTCAGAGGGTGAGATTATGTGTGCTGTGTTGTTATTGTACAGATGTACTAGTACTGCCGACTTTAGTCTATGGTACGCCCGACCCGCCCGGTTACGGCCCGGCTGGCTTGTGATTGTAAAAATATTTTTCTAAATGAAATGAAAGAAAACAAAATGATGGCATGAATTAATTAACAGAGCTGTTTGTAGCAGCTATACTGGTGCTAATAAAACTAAGTGAACAAACATAAACAGAAGAGAGAGGGTAAGCTGTTGGCAGCTTTTTTGGTGCTAATAGATTTTAAACATTTTCCCAATATTAGCATACGAAAACTGTTACATTAATTTTACCGGTTGTCTAATTGTTATTTATTGCGTATTATTATTAGTGGTATACAAAATCCTATATATCTACACGATATCTTTAATAATAGATGATATATGATAATTATATACCTACCTACCCTATGATAGATTTATGCAGTTGCAATGTTATCGATTTTATAATGGTTTTGTATCTTTTTCAGTACCGGCAACGCATTAGAATTTTCTAGAAGCATCGTTTGGATTAAAACATCAGCAAAAATGTCGGCCGTCGTAAATATGATGGACATGCAACAAATTGAGTTTCGTGCTGTTATTAAATTTCTCACAAAACAAGGGAAAGGACCACAGACTATTTTAAGTGAAATGAAAGCCGTCTACGGTGCTCAATGCCCTGGCAAAACCATGATATATAAGTGGTATGGGCTTTTCCAACAGGGTAGAGAGATGATAGAAGACAGACCTCGAGCACTGACCCTGAAACGCCGGCGTGAAGCTTCTCCTGTTTTTGATGATAGCTTTATTGATAGAATACAAAATGAACTTCTAGATGCTGAGGCTGCTGCATGTTGAAAAATACACAACTTCATGTTGTTTTGAAATTATGCCAGCATTCACAAAATCTTTTTATGTAAATAAAGTCACCTCAGCGTGCTGGACTAAGGATAACATTGTGTAGAAACAAAACAGCAATCACTAAACTTTTAGAATTTGGTTGTTTAGTTCTTCAAAGCACATTTTAGATAGTCCTTTGATATGATCTAGAAAGATTAGCCTGAGGTGAAAGTGTTAAATCAGTGCTAGCAGCACAGAATGAGAAAGTCGTTGGATACTATTGATGGAAATAAGAACTTGAGGGATAGAAATTAGATTTTTAACAAAGTTTATTGTATAAGGCTCATTTCACAAGCATGTAAATTCCATTTACTCCTAGATATTATTGTATTGCTGCTCAAAGTATTAGTATTATGATCTCACATTTCACTAAGTTATTACTTTATTTTATATTCACATTAGTATTATATAGTAATATTTTATAAAATCAAACTTGTAATGATCTTAGCACTAATATAACTCTATAAGTGTGTTTACATGTAGTTGTAATACTTTAATATGCAAAACAATGAAATAATTTAATCAACAGTAATACAATTTTATAATAATTGTGTAGTTATAAAACTTGTCAATGCATTATTCTAAAATATTAACTGAATAAAACATAATCAATTCCTTCAATGAGATTTAATGATTGGAGATTCTTTTCAAATTCACCATTTGTCATGTCTAATTTAAAGCATATAAGTAAAGGAGGCTTTGCATCTGCAAAATGAATTACTGGCAATTTGGCCAATACTTTTCTTTCAATAGGGCAGTATAGTTCCACATATTGCCCTATTTTGTTCTTGTCAACATCACAAAATGCCACAACTTTATCTAAGTTTTCTGAATTTAAGGCGCGAACTAATCTTCTGCCAGCTTTTCCTGCATTCCAAACTGTAAAATGATTCCAATTAGGAAAGATATGTTTTTGTAATCTTTCTAGTTGAACTTGCCAAATATTTTCTCTTTTGACAGAAAATGTAGCTGCATTTTCATGGTAGGCATACACTACCAGTTCCTTTTCTACTCTATACAGGTCTCCTCCTGCGTCCAAATGAGCATAGAAAAATATCAGATCTTCTGGTGTTCCACGGCCAGTTTCCACAAACCCACCAACCTTGTCATATACACTTCTATGGCAGAACCATGTTGGCATTAGCAAAGTAGGTCCATTGGATGTGTATATTTGATTCCTGAGCTGCTGGCTGTTAAGATTATTAGCCCACTGAACATAACGTGGAGTTGAGTCTTTAGGTACTCTGAATATTTTACTGCCAATAATTGCATTTGGTCTTGATGTTGCAGCATTCCACTGTAGCTCTATTCTCTCAGATAGCATTATATCATCTATATCTTGAAAACATAAATATTTGCCAGTGCTTATTTTTATGGCACCATTTTTTGCAGCACCCACACCTTTTGAAGTTTTGCTACTCAATGTTACGAAACCAACTCCTTGCCTCTTAAACCATTCCTTCCATTTTTGTAACAGTTCTGGAGTTTTATCTGAACTGCCATCATTATAAACAGCAATTTCAATCTTTACATCAGCTGTTTTCAATATCGTTTGTTCTGCTATAGAATTCATACAACTATCTATCCATTCTTCGCCATTATGTACTGGTATGATTATAGAAATATCAGTCATTATTTTTTAAAGGTGGACATCAATGGGAGTAATGAGCAGATTATTATAAGGTTAGTATTATTTCGTCCTTACGTAGAATTTTGATTTAAACTAAATATAAGTATATGTACTGCTGAAGCAAGTACAAAAAATAAATACATATATCATTCAACAATTAATTAACATTGTTTATTTTTAAAATGCGATAATCAGTCGGGGGCTTGCATAAATGCATAATTGCATACCATCCAATCAAACACTCAATATCAACTGAAATGACGTCTGTCTCATATCTGACAATATCTGTCTGTCTGACAATGACAACTAGATGGACTTGCCAAAGATGAGACGAAAAAGTCGTAAAGTCTGATAATTTATCAAAAAGGGTTTTAATTTTTACTTTCTAACAACTTACAACTTTAAAAATGTGCCAGCTTCTGACGTTGTACTATGTCCCCATAAACTTATTAAACTCTTTGGTACTGTCTGTCCCTTCAGTCAAATGATGACATGACATTCAATGACATTTACTAATTGTCATTTTTCATTTTCAGTCTGCGGTTGGTGTTTCGGATTCGGATTCGGTCCGGAATGACGTTGACGTTGTCTGTACAATACAAAGTTGATGTCGTAATTTTATAATTTAGTCTCGGCATTCAATTAATTCACTCATTTAAATCTATTAATTGTGGAAGTGCATTGTGAAATTTCCTTATAATGGGTATAAAAGAAGCTAATATTTATTTAGATAATCAATGGAACACGTATTACGCTGGTCAAACCATCAATGGAAGAATAGAATATGTGTTTGATAGTCCTAAAAAAGTGCGAGGTATGTTGCTGTGATTATTTTTTATTACAGTCTGTGACTCATGCGTTATAGTAGGAGTATGAGAAATACGCTATGTTGACTATAAGTTACTTCAGTGAACACTTAAGATCTTGTTACAATTATATATAGGTATCCATGTCAAGTTTAAAGGAGAAGCTCACACGGAATGGTGTGAAAGTAGAAATCAAGAAACTTCTGATGGGAAGACAGAATCGACTGATACCATGCACACTGGACATGAGGAGTATTTCCAAGTCTCATACTATTTGCTGGGAAGCAATTCAGGTGATTGTTTAAAAAACTATTCAATATAACATTAACATAGTATCTTGTTAAATAATTTTCAAGATAATCTAGCCAGAGGAATTACTACTTCCTTAATTGCTTACATTTTCTCGGTACTTACTAATAATAAATTAACATCAGACTAATGACACTCTAAGCTAGTAAATATTTACTTAATTAGTAATTAGATTTGATCATCAGATAAGACAGTCATTCAGTTCCAAGTATTTGACACATTTACTAGAACTATCAACACTAACCTCTTTTAAACCTTCTATAAAATTGCTTCATTGCAGTACCATAGAAAAACAAACACAGTCACATTTATTAGTAACTATTATTCACTTGAATGAGTAAATGAGACTGTCTCATTGGCCGAGTGGTCGCAGATGCGAATGCCGGGCAAGGGATCTCGGATTCGATACCCGGGTCGGGCAAATTATTATTATTAGTATAAGTAATAATTTTCAGTAGTAGTATAGATTCTAGAATTGTACCCGGTATATGGCAATAGGCTCACCCCTATTACATGGAACTCATAACATAAATAGAGAAAAGTAGGGGTTACAGTGTACAGTGGCATAAAGTGCGTAATGTGCACCTCTCTACTTATCACTATTGGGATTATAGGCGTGATGGTATGAGTCAATGATGGGTAATAATATTATGAAAAAAATGGGTAATAATTATATTTTCACTTGAAATATAAAGCATTCTATGAACTGTTTACACTTAACCGTTATTTAGATAACCTGGCTCTTAATAACTATCAGATGTTGACTTGTTTGTGTAGTGAAATTATCACAGTGTTAATTACAATGTACTGCAACATTGCAACTATTAAATGAATTAACTTTGAAGTACTTATTTACCTATTGAAATAATGTAATCTGTACCTTATGTCAATACTTATTAAACATTGAATTAATTCTTTATCTATTTTATATAATGTAATGGAATTAAAGCCTCACCATGATGTTTGTTTGTTTTGTGTATCAGTTTTTCAAGTCATACCTATGTTCCTATGTGATTTTCATATCTGGAGATAGGAGGTTGCAAAGTGAGGTAGACTATTTTCTGACAACACACATAATGACTACCTAATATAACATAAATGTTTTGGTATCCTGATAGGTACAGTTGCATATATATATATATCTGTTAATACTATCTCACTAGTCGACTGAAGGTCAATCACTATGTTGTGCATATGTAATAAATACATAATAATAATGTGAATTGCAAAAATAATATTGGTATTTTACCTGCATCTCTAAGTAGGTATTACCTTAAAAACTGTATGAGTAATACATATATGCTGCCTACGCTATAGTAATACATGTAACTTTATAGTAATGAACACGAACATTGTTTCCAATTGAAAAACGTTCTGCACATTAGTGTACATTTTTTCTTACATAATTATGAACCTTCTCTTAACTATAACAATTCGAATTGTCGTTAATTCGTTTTAAATAAACAGCTGAACCTTTTTCGCAATCGGTTTAGCTGTTCTCGAAATTTGCAATTGCCAACACATTTGCGATTCATTTTTATATTAAGTATAGATGAAATGATACGTAATTTTTTGGATACGCAGTATATTTTTAAGTATTAAAGTCAGTAAGTATAGTATACTTTGAGTAGACTGTACCACAGATACAAATGATAATACAGTTTGTCTTATCATTTGATCAGTTTATTATGGGGTCAATCTTCGTGAGCCAGTGATAATTGTTTAATGGAGTATTCGAGGAGATTAAATGAAGTTGAAGGCAATATGTTCATGTTAAAATTGGAACCAACTCAAACTCATACATGGGTACATACTATGAGTCAACCCCAGTTGTATTTTGCTTCCTCTATATACTTACTCATACAAAATTGTTAAGTCTTTGTTTTCCCATTTCCAAGGAATAACACAATTATTCCTTTAATTATATCATTAGCCTCAGTATAAAGTAATTCAGAGACTAAGTTTGTTACCATTACCAACTATTTGTGCTTTATATGAATCTAAGTTTTGTTATGTACAAACAAGCAAGACGATCTATTGCAATATGTTGAATTTCTACGCCATTGTAATAGAGTCGAAAATCTCTTGAAAGAAAGTTGTATTAGTTTAGGCCTTTGCTTACATAGATTAATTTTACAGGAAATGAAATAGAAATCCCAGCTGGTAAGCAGGTGTACAACTTCACTTGTGCCTTACCTCCTGTTTTACCTTCATCCTTCGAGGGTCAATATGGATATGTCAGGTATACCATCAAGGTGACCCTGGACCGGCCCTGGAAGTTCGATCAAGAGACAAAAATGGCTTTTACTGTGATTAATGCATTTGATTTGAATCTCAACCCTTCTTATAAGGTGAGTAAAGACTTAGAAGAACATAACTCTTTCTTTTTCTGTTATTCTATCTACTAAGTCACCCTGCGGATGTGGTCAGACCACCTAGCTGGAGGGCGCCGTACACTACGTTTGCTTAAATGCGGTCTCTGCTTTAAAAAACGTTTACCCCATCGGTTTTCGGTTCTTCGACAAATGTGACCGGCCCACTGCCACTTCAGCTTACAAACAGTTACAGTAATAGCTTTCTGGTAGTGGTTAGAAGGGAAGAGCTGAAAACCGCCTGAGCTCAATGGCGTGCCATTGGAGAGGCCTATGACCAGGAGTGGACGAACATGGGGATATGATGATGATGATCTACTAAAAAAAATATATGTGTCCAATGTTGTGAGGTTATTGTTGAAGTCTTGTCTACTTGGTCTATTATTTAATTTAGAATAACTGCTACTGTAGTCTGTTTAATTTAACTGGAAAAAATCATCTACCTACAAAGACGGCGAGCAGTCAAATGACTGCTCCAAGTTTTTTGATATTTTTATATGTTTAAGTGCTAGAAATGGTACC